TTTTTTTTTAAAAAAAAAAAAAAAAAAAAAACAATACATGCATCACCTCTTTCCGCAGATTACATCAAAAACCAGTATTTATTCAAATATTTTGTTTCTTTGGAAAAAAAAAACAATCTATTCATCAGCTGGGTGATACCAGCAGGAGTAGAAGAACGCGAACAGCAATACGCCAAATCCGAACTTCAAATCTTTGCTCGCTGACACCCCAAAGACCAAATTTGCCACCTTTTTTCGATTAAGACTCCGAGGACATAAATCACATACATAGAAAAGGCAGCAGGTATCAACTAAAGGTAAATAGGCTGAAGAATCTGGCATCCCCCTACCCAGCACTAACTTTGCGATGAAATCCTCACTCTGATTGCCCAAGCAGTCTTGGTTTTCTTAAAATTTTTACTAGATTTTGTGGCTTTCTGATTAAATTACGTTCTCGCTCAACCAAATTTTTTATTGCATTTATTATATTTTGTGTCTCTTGGGGAGAGATATGTCGATTTTTTATCCATTTTTTTATCTATTTTTATCCATTTATGCGCCCTTTTTGGCTAAATTTTGCGTTGCTTTGATTGGGATTGCTTATTTTTTTAAGAAAATTGACTTTTTTTTGAAAAAATCCCATATTAAATCACTAAATAGTACTGCTTGAATTCCCAATCTATCAAACAAAGCCACGGAGCCAAATTAACTTCTGGAAAGGGCCAAAATCGCTCAAAAAGCTTGGAATATGTATAATTCACTGTTTGTGAGATGCTGAGGCACTCGGAAAATTAGGCACTAACTATTACGAGGTTATCAAAGGGCCCTCTTCTTCAATGGTTCGGGATTTTTTGAAGTAACGTTAAAATTTCCAATGCCCCTCCCCCCTCCACCGTTGAGTACCCACATTCATAAAATTTTCGATGCGTCAGAGATGGAAGCAGTTGAGAAGTAGTCCGAGTGGTAGCAAATGCCAATAGTAAAATTGCCAAAAAAGTAAAATATGGTTGAAAAAGGGACTAAATCCATCAAAGATTTCCTCTCCTTCCGTTTTCCCTCCAAAACATGGGAAGCAAAGATGCGCTGTTAAAACGCATGCCAACAGCGGAACAAAAACAAAGAATTTATAAAAAATAGTTCAATATACCCCAAACTAGAAGAATATGAATAAATGGTGCAAAAGTTCAAATAAGAATAAATTGCGGCCGTAAGCGAGCCCTATTGTAATCTTAAGTGTTTTGGAAATTTTTGAGATGCAAACTATGAAAGTTTGTTTGGCACTATAGGCCGGCCGATGAGAGGGACACAGTCGAATACTGACAGTTGTGGGAAAGCAGTGAGTGCTAATTCAGATACCCAAATAAGCAAGCCTGTATGTGCATTAGCTGTTGTCCTGTCTGTGTTTCATCCCTGAACTGTAAACACAGGCGGCACAGCCGGCACGGAATGGGGTGGGAATAAAGTGGACGGTCCAAAGAAATCAAAATGCGGAACGGAGAGAGTCAGAAAGCCAGCTCTTACCACTATCGCCAATGATTAGCAACTTGAACAGATGGTCGTAATCGCGTGGGCCTGGAGCCGCTGCCGCTGCACTCATCGAGATCCCAGCAGATTTATTTGAGCTATACTGGATACACCTCGCCGCCGAATCCTGAAAAAAACGCGATATTTTGTCCGTGAAAAAAATGGCCGAACTAAACGCCAAGCCGATTCGATAGTGCAAATGAACAAAAGAAGACAGAAACGCTCGAAAATTTATGGTTTGGCCACTAAAATCGCCTCAAAAACCCCTCATTATAGGCATGACCTTGACATGGTTAGCAACGTTGACGAGGAGATTTTTCTCAGTTTTTTCTAAAAATTAAAAAAAATTTTGGCATTTTGCTGCTCTACAATAGCCATCAGCTTGCTTGTAAGCAGACTGTAGCAACGAGGTTTACCTTGGAAAAGCCTAAATGGAGAAGGCGCGATAGATTACAGCATGCAACACTGAACAGGAAGGAATGTATACGACTTAATGGACCGAAATATTCCTATTCAGGTTTTTTAATCCGATTTATCTTATTCACCTTCCTTTTATTCCTTTCTTTTTAACCCTTACTTTTTATATAAACACACGTCATCTAAAATTAAAATTACAATGAAAGAAGAATGGTGAGAAAAGAAGGTAAGAGTGAGATAAGATGTTCCGGTCCATTAAAGGTCATATACGTCTTTAACTCAACACCGCACCACAGGACCTCGTGACAGTATGACGGTCGCAGTGCTTAATGGAAAAGCAAAAGAAAAAGAGAAAGACGACAGGAAGAAACAGAAGGGGAAACGATAAGATTGTGGGATTAGAAGGAGTAAGAGTGGGATGACGGGAGAAGCGAAAAGGAAGGAGGAAGAAAAGGTTTTAAAAAAAAAGAAAGTTTTTGTACGCAACTCTCAAAAGAGGGGAGTCATCAACAGTCTTGCGAAAGGCTGGTTGCTGTTGGCATTTGCTACCAATTCAAGCTATTTTCTGAGTGCTTCTACCTATCACAGAGGGAGAACACGAGGAGGGGGGGGGGGGGGGGTTGACTTTTTGTCTG